CTGCTAACTTGGTATCAGGTTGATTCTCTACTACCCGGTGTCTGCCCTTGTAACTCTTTTCGCCAACATCCTACAGAACCCCAACGATGCGCGCGCTCGATCAGACGTCAAATTGATGAACGTGGTAGTCAGCTTCTTGTCAACCCTAGTCTCCGATGAATCCAATGGCAGCATCAAGCGTATGCTAGGTCTGTGTGGCGAATTCGAGAGAATTGCCAAGGTGGTCTTGGACAAAACCGAAAAAGAGTCTCATTCGCGAAAGAAACGCAAGAATGCAGAAGACTCTACAGGTGCAGCCGACGAGCAGTCGGCAACTTCACCCTCCGCCAAACGTACACAACCACCGCCCGCCTCCGCGTCCTTCTCTCCCTCCGTGTTTACCAGCCAGACGGCTGCCGCCCACTCGCCCGGCACAGGAAGACCATTCCCGGGGACTGCAATGCCCCCAACAAATAACATCCCCGTCGACCTCCCAAGCAATGTCCATTCCATGCCTGGCATCGGGCAGGAGTTCTCAGACATGCTGAGTCCTGATCAAATGGCTAGTGTTGCATTCTCTGACCAACACCCATTCAGTGCCAGCCCTGGTATGGCGTCATTCCAGCAGCCATTTGTCCCACAAGATCTCTGGCAGATGCCAATGACAATCGAGTGGGACTGGGCGGATATGTCCACCAATTTTCCTCCGTTTGAAGGAGCTGGCCCCGGCGGACCGCTGCCTGGGCAGTGATCATGGGTGTATGATGGACCAAAATCACTTTCATCTATATTTTATGTAACTCATGACGGTGGGATTATTGTTTCCGGTGTTATCTATCCATGCCAAACCATCTCCACACATCTTGTATATTGAAGCGCTCCTCTTGTTATTTCGAAACCATCCCTAGGTCTCTATAGAGTGACCAGAATAATCATGGGTTTCCATTACGCAGCGAATGGCGCAAAGGTGGGCCCTATTCATAGGAATATATACAGACAGGTCTCCATTTATATCATTTATATCCAAATAATCTTAGGCAATTTAGTTCAATAATGGAATTTCCAAAACAACAGCCTTGAAAGGAACTCACGGATTTAAGCTAATTCCATCCGTGTGCACCCCGGGGCCTCGGGGTGATGCCCAGGTGATGACTCAGCCGGATCGGCGAAAATTTAGAACCGACTGGAACCACACGGCGTCACCTCGGACCTGGATGCCTCAGAGCTTCTCAACTCCTAGCTCAATTCCCCCCTCAGGCCTGATCTTGATGGATTGTGATATCATCCGTTACCTCTAAACTCGATTGACCACCTTTTACCCCCGCCCTCGTAGCCCTCGGGGCTCCCATTCCTCGACCATGGCTACTTTACTCCGACGGCCAGGCAATCTCGCTCGCTATTCGAGGAAAGCCGCGGAATCTACCGGTCGCACGGGGTTGGCTTCCGTGCTTCTGCGACCATCAAGACTCTCATCTCTGGTTTTATCAAGCCGCTATAGAGCCTACTCCACGCAGGGTCCGACACCCCCAACGACAACGGCCGGAACAACACACCAGATGGCCTCAACAATGACCGAACAAAGAAGCCAAAGTGTGTTCTGACTGAAACTGAATTGAAAATCGTGGATGAATGGCTGGAGGATATGGACGTGGAGCGACGTACCAATGTCCGAAACTACCTCATGAGCAATGGACTTCCACCGGAAGTCAGGGCGCACATCGATCCCAATCAAGAACCGTCATTAATGGATCGTATTAAGATGACGCGATTCTTGTGGCAAGTCTCGGCTTACCATGCTGATGAGCGTCTAGCTAGACAGGAAGAAATCGCGAAGCGCGGTATCGCGGACTTGCGGACCCCCTTTGAAAAACGCAGTGATGCCGCCAAAAGCAACGAAGAATCTAGCCTTCGCTTCAATAAGGACTCCGAACAGCGGCCACAAGGACAGCGACCGGCAAAGGAGGGCGGACAGCAACCCAATGCACAACCACCAAAGGATCCCAAGCAAGACAAGGATCCTAAGGAGGAAAAGCAAGGTCCTAAGAAGGACCAGCAAGGACAGAAGAAGCAACAGGGCGACAAGAAGGGCAAGGTGCCCCCGAACATGGGCAAGGTCCTCGAGTTCCGCTTCGATCCCGTTTCATTCTTCGTTACCGCTCTCGTCACATACTACGTCTACCGCAGCTTTTTCCCTGGTGAAAGTGGGGGCAGGGAAATCACTTGGCAAGAATTCCGGGCGAACTACCTTGAGAAGGGCCTCGTGGAGAAATTGACCGTCTTGAACCACACCAAGGTTCGGGTTGATCTCAACCGCGAAGCTGCGACTCAACCCGATTCAAATGGCCAGCCTGCCTCCTATGTCTTCTTCAGCATTGGTTCTGTCGACAGCTTCGAGATGAAGATCGAGGCAGCTCAGTATGAACTCGGCATTCCTTCGCATGAACGTATTCCTGTCGCTTATCACGATGAAACCCCTTGGGGTGGTGTCTTGATGTCATTGGCTCCTACTCTTCTCTTCCTTGGTGGTGTTTTCTGGATGTCCCGGCGCGCCGGTGGCGGTGCTGGCGGCCAGAGTGGAATCTTTGGCATCGGGAAGAGCCGTGCCAAGCGCTTCAACCACGAGACCGATATCAAAATCAAGTTCTCTGACGTTGCGGGTATGGACGAGGCCAAGGTTGAGATCATGGAATTTGTTAGCTTCCTCCAGCAACCCGAGCGGTTCGAGAAGCTGGGTGCAAAGATTCCCCGTGGTGCCATCCTTTCAGGCCCTCCCGGTACTGGTAAGACCTTGCTTGCTAAAGCCACTGCTGGTGAATCCGGCGTGCCTTTCTACAGTGTCAGTGGTTCCGAATTCGTCGAAATGTTTGTCGGTGTTGGTCCCTCTCGTGTCCGTGATCTCTTCGCCAATGCCCGGAAGAACACACCTTGCATCATCTTCATTGATGAAATCGATGCTATTGGAAAGTCCCGAGCAAAGTCGAACGTTGGTGGTGGAAACGATGAGCGTGAAAGCACTCTCAACCAGATTCTCACTGAGATGGATGGCTTCAATACCTCTGAGCAAGTGGTTGTCCTGGCCGGTACCAACCGACCGGATGTTCTTGACAAGGCCCTGATGCGTCCCGGACGTTTCGACCGACACATCTCCATTGACCGACCTACCATGGACGGTCGTAAGCAGATCTTCCGTGTTTACTTGAAGAAGATTGTCACCGACGAGAACCTGGAGTACATGGAGGGCAGACTCGCCGCTCTGACTCCCGGTTTCGCTGGTGCTGATATCGCCAACTGTGTGAACGAGGCAGCTCTTGTTGGTAAGTTTCTATACATAATATCTTCGCTGTGCTTCATCAAAGCTAACAATTTCTCCCTACAGCTGCCCGTGAAAACGCAGACAAGGTCATCATGAGACACTTCGAGCAAGCCATTGAACGAGTCATTGGTGGGTTGGAGAAGAAGTCCCTTGTCCTCTCTCCCGAGGAGAAGCGGACCGTCGCCTACCACGAGGCTGGCCACGCTATCTGCGGTTGGTACTTCAAGTGGGCGGACCCGCTGCTGAAGGTTTCGATCATTCCTCGCGGACAAGGCGCACTTGGATATGCCCAATACCTCCCGGCTGGCGGCGACACATATCTGATGAACGTCAACCAGATGATGGACCGCATGGCCATGACTCTGGGTGGTCGTGTCAGTGAGGAGTTGCACTTTGAAACCGTGACTAGCGGTGCTAGTGATGACTTCAACAAGGTCACTCGCATGGCTACTGCCATGGTGACTAAGTTCGGCATGTCGTCCAAGCTTGGTTACATCTACTACGAGGACGACGCACAGCAGCAACTTCACAAGCCCTTCTCCGAGGATACTGCCCGCTCTATTGATTTGGAGGTGCGTCGCATCATCGAAGAGGCCCACAAGCAGTGCCGCGACCTCCTGACCGAGAAGCGGAAGGAGCTTGGTATTGTTGCCGAGGAACTTCTGTCTAAGGAGGTTCTTGGACGTGACGACCTCATCCGTCTCCTTGGTCCACGCCCCTACCCTGAGTCTGGCGAATTCGCCAAGTACTTCGATGGCAAGGGCGGCCAGACCATTGCCCCACCGGACTACCAGAACCCCGAACAAACCTCTGGCAAGGACGGCCGGGACGAGACACCTATCCCTCCTTCATAGATTAGGAGATTGTGTTTCTTTGCATTCCTGCGTCTCGGTTTGGTTTTGATTCAATTTTTGGAGGCATTATATCACTGTAGCCTCTCTTGTCTGTGTATTTATCGATTGCATATCCCGCTTCTTCTCCTCTCTCATCCCTCTCTTTTTGTCTACTCTCATCCATATCACCTTTCTTCCTTTTCCTCCCTCGTGCTCAATAAGAAGATCGCTTCCCTTTTTTTTTTTTACTTTCTCTCGTCCCTTGTCCCCTTTTTCCATCTCCGTGTCCAATTGGATCTGTACAACTTGTACTGAGTGTATATTAGGGAGTTATTTTGAAACATGTCTTAGATTGGAAGTTCATGTTTCTTATGTGTAAATATTGTGACTCATGTAGAACTCCCCGAATAACGTTGTATCAGACCCATTGGCTAATGAGTTATCAAAATCTCCTTTCATGGCAGTGATACATCCGAGACATGCGAATGTCTTGCGCTTTATCCTCAATTATTCCCTTTGAGGTATGTCTAAAACACCCATCCAAGGAAGTCGACTCAATTCAAAACTTCTTTGTGGATAAAAACTAGTGCATACAGGTAGTGCATTCAAGCCCCAAAGAGGACAAACGGTCTAGCTATGATGATGACGTCTAAATATATGAAAGAGCCAAAGACTGATCAAGAACACATTTACGGCACTGAATTCAGTAGTAATATAGTAGTCCAATTCCATCCAACCCTACAGCCAAGTTGACACGACAGTCTTATACCTTCAGAGAAAAACAGCCAAATCCAGAACGCCAATTAAATAAACATTTTCCTGTCCACAGGAAATAGTTCATCGTCAAAACTTCAGACCGTCCTGATCCATCGAAGATGCTACGTATCCCTGAACTTCGAGACGAGAATGGTCGGGATCTACTCAATGACGACACAAGTTCCGACAAGAGCAGCCCCAAAGTCGAGACGGAGTGGATGAGCGATGCTATCCGCGCATTCGACCGTGTTTGGCATGATCCAGCGAGGAGAGAGCAGTCCAGATGTTTCTACACTGGCAGCGGCGAATCAAGCAGGACTGCTGTATCTCAACGTAGACGGACCCTGGCCCCAGACATCTATCCTACTCCATATGGGACGGTAATACTGGAGCAGTCTCATCCATACTGGCATACAACGAAACAACCCTATCAGCTTTCGCACAGCACGATACCCCGATTCTACAGTCTAGACTGTTTGAAAGAAAAGCTCCTCGGCCCGGAGAACTACAAGGATTGGGCGGACCGGATGAAGAAGAATCTTGAGCGGTGCGGCGGATTGTGGATCACTGATGCTGATCCTGAGGTGTCGACGCACGGCAGCTTGAACCTGCATCTTTGGATGATGGTTTTCAGCAATGTGTCACAGTCTATACAACGGGAACTGTGTGCTCTGGGGGAATTGGATGCACGGGAGACGTGGCAATTTCTGGAGAGAACGTATGGGAGAGATGTTCCCATGAAGGTGCGTTCGGTCAAGGCCTACGTGATATCATAGGTATCAGGTATGACGAGTGTGCGCCATTGAAAGAATATATAGAGAAGATGGTGTGGTGCAGCCCAGCGATTCAATGTAACCGCGGAGAGAAAGACGGTGGCGATAGCGGGAAACACAATGATCACGGAAAGAATCGCATTCACTTGCGAGGGATGGAGCTAAATGGCTATGGTGCCAGTTCATCTTGGTGAGTCTTGGTCGCATGCAAGTTGCTCGTTACACGGAGAGTTGTGGTGTATGACCATTTCTTTAAAAGTCTTGTCAATAGATATCTCATGTTTTCAGTGTGTTGTGACGAGTGATTAGTGCCTGAGCGTATTAAAAATAGTGTGCATTGTGTCAAAATCGATAGTTTGAGGTAAAATGCTGAGAAAGTGCAAAAAAAATCACAGGAAAAACACATCCACCAATATGGCAAAGATCCCCATCATCCTCTGCTTATATATCAACCAACACATTAAGTGCTCTTCTTGCTAGTCTTCTTGGTATTCTTCGCCTTGACAGACAGGCGAGGGATAAACCTGCCAACACGAGCCTGATAGTCGCTGTACTCGGGGTACTTGCCAGCAGAGATAGCCTCAGTTAGACGCACGCTTCCATGGAAAATAGCAAGATACCCCAAAGCACCCAGACCGGCCCAGTTGTAGTAAGTCTCGGTGCGGTAGCAGGACCACAAGTACATGGTCAACCAAAAGGCCTGCTCAGCAACAAAGTTGGGGTGTCTCGACCAAGACCAGAGGCCACTGACAACAAAGCCCCGCTCAAGGTCTTCAGCAGAGAACTGGTCCTTGTAGGGCTCCGGAATACGCGCGTTGGTTTGGTACTCCTTCTTAGCAGTCTGGAACTGCCACTGCTGCCCGTCGGCGAAGAATTCAATGATGATGAAGAAAAATGCAGCACGGGAGAAGGCCAAGTCAGGAAGGCCGAAGATGTCAGTTCCCTGATTGTATGCGGCGACAACAAAAATGTAGGTGGGAGCGGTGATGAGAAGGAGCAGCAACGATTGAGCGATTGCAATGAATCCGAGGTTGAAGATCATGAAAAGAAAGCCATTGTTCACTTTAGAGCGCACGATCTGCCAGCGGTAATCTTCCGAGCCAATCGAGTATCCCCCTTTGCGCCAGTAGTTGAAAGTCAAGCGAACCTATTCCATAATTCGAGTCAGCATACGTAGCGGCCTGGAAGAAGAGCCAACTTACACCCCAGAGAACACTGATGGCAGCGATTGTATCCAAAGTCTGGGTCTGGATGCCGGACAAACGAGCCCAAACGGCGAAATGCACATTGTACAGCGCGGGGAGAATGCTCCAAAACCGGTCTACTTGTGAATAGTTCCGGTTGATCTCAGCCGCGATGAAAAACAAGCCAGCAAGAGCTCCACTGAAAGCAAGCGCAGAGACAAGCGGGTTGGTAGCTAGATAGACAGCTCGCAAGCTATACACATCGGTACCAGCTTCGCGCAAGCTGTCGGGTAGCCATTGCAACTGGGACAAGTAAGGGAGAACGGTGAGCTGAAACGAGGTATAATCCAAAATGGACTCCAAACGGGGAAGTGGTAAAGACGCCATTGCTGTGGGCTATATAGGATCAAAATGCCGCAGGAGAAAAGGAAAACAAAAGCGTTTGCTCCGGTGGAGTTGGACGGGTATGTTGGTCAGTAATTGCCTGATTGGGAATAGCGTGCCTAAAAAAGGGAATATATGCCTCAGGCATCACATCGCGTCTCAGGCATCCAATCTCTTCGCGTCCGAGTCATCCAGAACAAGATGTGATCTACATCAGGACATTCAAGGCCACCACCACGATGAACCCCATGTGATCTAGATTGGGGCTCATAATGGCTCGCAAAATTCTGTGTGTGGCCGAGAAGCCTGCCATTGCCCGCGCAGTGGCCACTCACTTGTCGGGAGGTGCCTTTCAGACAGTGGGTTCAATGTTAAAGAATTCTGATGAATCCAGCTAATATCAAGCATAGCATGCTATCCGTGGGAACCAATATGTGAAGAACTATGAATTTGAATTCAATTTTGGTGGTGCCTGGGGTAACTGCTCGGTCACCATGACCAGTGTGGTTGGCCATCTGACTGGCCTGGACTTTGATCGCCAGTACAAAGGTTGGATGTCCTGTCCTCCAGGGTCACTATTTGAGGCTCCTGTGCAAGAGACTGTTGACAAGGTGGGAAAAATTACCAGCAGCTGTTTTGACCGCATGCTGATGTCTTCACTAGGACAAGCTACCAATTGCGGAGAACATCCGGAACCAAGCCAAGTACTCTAAAGCCCTGTTTATTTGGACCGATTGTGATCGCGAAGGTGAGCATATCGGTTCTGAGGTCCGTAATCAGGCAAAAGCAGGAAATGCTCGGATCGAGGTCAAGCGAGCCAAGTTCAGCAACACAGAAAGCGCGTAAGTAATGGGGGTTCTCCTTTTGGTATCTACTCAAACTGATCCAAGGATAGACATGTTCGTCGGGCTGCTCTAGAACCAGTCAATCTCGACGAATATCAGGCCAGTGCTGTGGCTGCCAGAATCGAGCTGGATCTTCGAATCGGCGCTGCATTTACCCGCCTACAGACTCTACAACTACAAACAGTGGTGGCAGCTTTGAAGGAAAAAGTTATCAGCTATGGTAGGTTGCCGCCCATTATAGATACAAGGAAACCAACTAACAAGTTAGGATCATGTCAATTTCCTACTTTGGGATTCGTTGTCGACCGATACCTGAGAGTTCAAAATTTCAAACCAGAAACATTTTGGGGCATCAAGGTCATACTCAGCCGTGAAAGCAAGAAGGTCAACTTTCTCTGGAAACGAGTACATTTATTTGACCGAGCGGTTGTGACGATGATGTTAGAGCGGTGTTTGGTTGCAAAGCAAGCCAAAGTCGCGAAAGTGAACCAGAAACCTACAAGCAAATGGCGGCCGTTGCCCTTGACCACGGTAGACCTACAGATGATGGGCAGTCGATTTCTTCGTTTGGACAGTCAGACTATCATGAAGGTAGGAAACAACTCTTGTATTGGATGTGGATAATATCTAACAAACTCAAAAGGTAGCAGAAGCACTTTACACCAAGGGATTCATCAGCTATCCCAGAACCGAGACAGATCAGTTTGACAAGGCAATTGATCTAAAGAAATTGGTCGAAAAGCAATACCCCGACAGCTCATGGGGCCAATACGCTCGAGAGTAAGTTTTTTTATTTGAACTTGTCTTTCATGCAGTAAACTAACTCCTATGTAGACTTATTGATGGCAAGTTCAAGACTCCTCGCTCTGGTCGCCACAATGACAAAGCCCATCCACCTATTCATCCTGTCAGCTGGGTTTCACCAAATCAGTTGAATGCCAATGAAAAGAAGGTCTATGAGTTTGTTGCCCGTCGATTCCTCGCCTGTTGTTCTGATGACGCGAAGGGTCAGAGCACAGAGATTGAAATTCAATACGGCGACGAATCCTTCCATACCAATGGTCTTATCGTGTTGGAGAGAAACTACTTGGATGTATACGTATACGATAAGTGGGAAAGCAGCCAACAACTTCCCAAATTTGAACTAGGAGAACTCTTTGAGCCCACAGAAGCCAATATTTTCGAAGGCAAAACAACTGCTCCGAACTATCTTACCGAGCCCGAGCTCATTGGCCTGATGGATGCCAACGGGATTGGTACAGATGCCACAATGGCAGAGCATATTGCCAAGATCAAAGAACGTGAGTACGTCGCCATAAACCAACGAGGCAGCGGCCGCAGCTCAGTGCAGGAGTTCATCCCGACCCGCTTAGGTGTTGCCCTTGTGGAAGGGTATGACAATGTTGTCGAGGGTCTCCCTAATAGTGTGTCTCTCAGCAAGCCGTTCCTTCGCAAGGAGATGGAATTGAGAATGGTTGAGATTTGCTCGGGCACCAAAACTCGACAAGAGGTCGTCCAGCAGAGTCTGGATATGTATCGAGAAGTGTTCATTCACACACAGAGACGCATCAACATGCTAAAGAATGCTTGTCGCAAGTATCTTGTTGAAGAAATCATGTCATGATTGTCAGTCGCTTACAAAAAGGCATCAAATATAATCATAATGAAATATTCAATCGATTGAACTTTGCTTTCGAGACATTAAAAAGAGAAAAGAACATGAAATCTAATATATATATGGAATAAGGAAGTTTGCACAATCTATTCACACCTCATTCTGGCCTGTCATTGGTCGAGGGGGTGGGCGGTCAGGGTGGCAGGAATTCCGCGTACCCCATCAAAATTCGGAATTCCACCTAGATTTTATTTAACTCTATACCCCTATTGAGTCGTTCGATTTGCCTCAAATTTGGCATATACCTTCGTATGGTACTAGAATAGAACTCCCTAAATTTTTAGTAATTTCCGACCATACGTTAGGTCGTGGTGATCTGTCAAAGTCTCTATATACTCGATTTTCGTCTAATTCTACTACCCTACCCCGCCCTCCGATTTACCCTAAACTTAGCATATACGTTCTTATACCTATAGAATAGAACTCCCCAAAATCTTAGTAATATCCGATTATAGGTTAGGTCGTGGTAGTCCGTTAAAGTTTATACTATATCGGATATATATAGTACGTAGAATCTCTAAATTAGAAACCGGTCTATATAGGCGTCCTATCTGCCCTATATTAGTAGAATACTAAAATAAGAAGGCGGTCTATATTAACCTCTTTATTCTATTTAAGGGTCTTCTATATTCGAGTTATATATATATATATTAGACTTCGACTTATATTAATATATTCTTTTATCTTCGACTTCTTCTGCTTATACTCTAATATTATAGACTATTAATTTCTTTGCCTAACTACCCTACCTAATCTTCTCTACTTCTAGTCTTCTCTTTTATACTAACCTCCTTCTTATCGAGATATCCTTACGATTCGGCCTATAGCTACTATATATCCTTTCTTATTCTCTTAGTTCTATATTATCGACGTACTATATATTATTAGCGTTATCGCTTCCTCGACTCGGTCTCC